TTTTGGCCCGTAAATCGCACGAGGTTAAAAGCCACACGTGCCTACAGGCCTAGGCGTCCGTTATTCTTCTCTTTCCTGTGGGTCGTTGACAGCACGTTCCAACCGAAATCCGCTCATTGGAAAGGCAAAATAGCAAAATTCATACTAAAAATTATAGTGGTGGATACGGATCTATCCCAAATTAAAATAAGATAAATTTATTTAAAATTTTTTTTATTTAAATAAATCATTTTAAATTTAATATGTGATGTTATTTAACGTTAACAATTCGTTAATTTATTATGTCGCTAATAAGTTTATTGTTAATAAATTACCGACAATAGATGACGTCACACGTTAAATTTGAAGTAATTTATCCAAATTAAAAATTTTACAAGTACATTTGTTCTTGTTTTTTATTCGAAAGTGAATTTATCCTTGCCACTATACTTTAAGGATGAATTTGACTATTCTAGCCATTGGAAAACAATATTATCATGCCTCATTTGGATTATGGTAAAGGAGCAATGATCCCTTATTTGGATTTTATTTTTTCCCTTTTTTTGTTTTCCATTAAAAAATAAATCATAGTCCAGCACTTGACGGCTTACTAACCCCTCCTGGTAGGATGTACTTAGGACTATTAAGACCTGGATTCTAATCTTAAGTCCCTTTCTCCTTTCTTGGAAAAAATTTTCCATTGTTCAAAAAAAAATAATAATAAATCATGCCTCATTTGGATTTCAGTCATGTAGCACAAGAGTTTGGCAGACTAAAAAGTTAAAGAAGTTTCTTTGAGTGGTTCAATTGTCACAAAGGTCAGTAAGGAGACATGAATTACACAAACACACTTACTGTAGGGGCCAATTTTGATATTGTTTTTACTAATAATTACTTCAAACTACTTATTGATCTTGAATAAAATAAATTTAATCATCTTTAAATAATATCTTTAATTTAAATGTTGTAAATAAAAAAAAATGATTTGCGAGACAAATTTATGGGACGACAAGTGAAAACAGAGTCAAATTGATAATTACTGTTGGGACTTGAGACTGCTTCATTTGTCATCCCTCAAATCATCTTACAAATTTGTCTCGTAGATCATTACTCTTAAAAAAATATACAAGGAGAAAATTACCTTTTTACGGGTTAAATACTGCTCAATTTTTAATCATTGAAGTCTAATGTGACTTCAGATGATAAGAGTTAAATAAAAAAAAAAAAAACTGAAATTAACTAAAAAGAGAACTTTATATTAATCAAAATTGAAATTAAGATAATGACATATTACCGGACAACGATTCTCTCTCTGTCTTGCTCATTCCAAACTCTTTTTCTCAGTTCGTCTCCCACACCTAAGATTTTCTTAAATTCTCGTCGATTTTAGCGCCTTAATTTCTTTCATTTTCCCAATTTCTGTTATTACAGAACGGTTAGGGTGGTGAAATTTTTTTTAGGACTGACAATGTTACTGTTTGGAGATCGTTCTGGTGGAGAGAATATGGGATTTTGAATGTTGGGTGGGCAATAAGTTCGGGGATTTGAATTCGAATTGCTTTGAAAATAGGTTTTGCCGTGTACTTGAAGATTTGCGGCCGACGGAATGGCCACCGACTTGCAGATGAGCCCTCAGTTGGAGCAGATCCACGGTGAAATTCGCGATAATTTTCGTGCTCTTGCGTAAGTTTCTCTTTCTTTAGCTCCAACTTCTTTAATATTCTTCATTTGATCGAATTTCAACTTTGGTTGAGGTTTATTTTTGATGTATTGGATATTATTAGGCTATAGAAACAACGAAGTATATGTAAGAAGAGGAAGGTGTGTTAATTGATTGAATATTTGCGTATTCCACTAAACAGAGAGTGCAGCTGATAGATAAACTAGGTGTTATGGTAAATGCAGATACTTGCACTCTGCACCCCGCACCCTGCACCCTGTACCCTGCAAAAAGGTTGAATTTTTTAAACTCATGTGAGAAGCCTGATAAAAAGAAGAGATGTGAGTTAGAACAAGAAGCTGAATTGCTATTTTGTTGTTGGTGATGATGGTGAGGGTTCTTGTTAGCTAGAGCTGCTAGTGGGACGGTTGATTATTATTTCATAATTTGGAAGAGTAATTTGTTTGTCTTAAGAAGGTTTTAAGAGCTTAACTTTGTTCATTAGTTGGAGTAGCACTTCTTCCATTGATAGTTCTACTGATCAGAGCAAGATTAGCTCAGTTGAACAAATTCATTTCATTATCAGGCTTTTAGCAGCAGGTTCTTGATGACCATGAAATGACCAAACAAGATGCAGAAGTTTCTTTTACTGTCAAGCTAATAACAATTAACAAATGAACATTTTTATTCTTTCACAGAGCTTACCAACTACAACTTAATATGTGAACTAAACTTTCTTGATTTTCCATATTTAGTTGCTTTGTTTTGTATGGAAATTTTTTCCTGCTGCAATTACTCTAGATTAATTCATCAGCCATTAACTTATTCTGTAGTGAACCCAACATAAAATAAAGACCACAAGCCTAAATTATTGGCCTTGTATCTATCTTGTCTATGTCTCCTCCACCCCACCTTAGCTTGGCCCATGCGGATTAGGTTTTCATTGTATTTTTTATCTAAGTGCTTGCTCTTTTTTTTTTCTCTTTTTTCTTTTTTCTTTTTTCTTTTTTTTATAAGAAATTTTAGACTATCTACATTTAACTAATGATTGTGTTATAACCATTCTACTTGCTTTCAGAAATGGCTTCCAGAAGCTCGATAAGATCAAAGATTCCAATAGGCAAAGCAAAGCA